TACCTCCAGCTTTTCCGCCTTCCTCAGGATGAGTTCATAAAAATCAAGCAGCACATTACGTTTACTCTAATGAGTGAATTAGTTTTGACATTGTGAATTGTTCTATTTCATTTCATGCATCTCCCAGTTTGCCGTTAAACATAGTCTCCAGCAGAAACACAACATTTCTGCAGCAACAATTGTCAAGGTAATTGTGAAGGAGTTAGGTGGTTTGGAAACTTAATACATATATATATTGTAAGTGTGGAATTACATGTGTGAAAGAAGACAACGTCCTAATAAGCGGGAAGATAAGATGGACAGAAATGGGCAGCGGGAGTGAAGCGAGGTGGGAACAGGGGTGTGTTGGGAGATGGATGCAGTGAGGTTACGTTGAGACGAGTGGTAGGAGAAGCAGAAGATGGAGGTGAGGGTAGAAGATGAAGGAATCTGAGATGGCAGACGAGATGGAGGTGGCAGTAGGCAGAGGGGAGCTACCTGCTGCTGATGACAGTCAGAGCCAGTGAAGGATGGAGGCCGATCCAGCTGTGACATTAAAGCAGCAGGTGGGGGCCATCATTAGGACTGGCGCAGGAGGCTAGATGAGCCCACGTGCGCTCATTTCTTTGGGGCCCGGCGGACCACTGCAGCGTCTGTGTGTGTGTGTGTGTGTGTGTGTGTGTGTGTGTGTGTGTGTGTGTGTGTGTGTGTGTGTGTGTGTGTGTGCGCATTCATCCAAAAGAGCTGAAACAGTCTCATAACTTCAGAGCTCATAACCCCCCACCCCCACCCCTCCGAGCTGCTCCTCCTCCCTTACATTCTTCAGCAGACTCACTCGGTTCGGGCTGATCGCTTTAAGCTCAGAAAAACTACAGATGTTTCTTTGACTTTGGTTTAATTTCTTACCTTAGCTCTTTTTTATTTACACACTCGCTGCTGGCTTCAACAAAACCAGACAAAACAGATGTCCGGTGTGTATGAAGGGTGGAAAAACGGGAAAGGGAAATTTGTGCCTAACCTTTGTTCACTAGCTTTCTGTCTGATTATCTCTGCTCATAAAAGTGTTTTGAGGACATAACTCTGATTTAGGTGTTTCCATTTCATTTCCCTGCTGTGGAGGGGGTTTGGCCAGCCCAGTCTTAACTGGAAAGGCATGTAGACAGCAAGGCTACATCTTTAGATGAGAATAATTATGTATTAGTGATAATTACATTAATATTCCATTTGTCTTGCCCATTCTTGTGTGTGATAATAACTTTTAGCTCCTTTTAAGACCTTTGGAAGACATTCAACTGATGACTTGTGCCAAAGATTTGCGAGGCCGACTCCAACAATCCAGTAGGAGTAAACTCTAGAAAAGTTTGGTAAGGTGTGCCATATTTGACCTATCCCTATCCCAGCCTGCCTTGTGCACATCTGAATGGGCATGCAGGATTTGGGGGAGTGGTACTACGGTTAGCCTTCAGGCCTTTTCTTAGATCCTTCATGTCTTCCGGACCTGCAGACGGGCCTATCCAGGAACAGCATTAGGCAAATGAAGTTGTTTGTATCAAATATTGACATGTTATCTCTTCATCATCAAGCGACGGGAGGGAAGACGAAGAGAAAGATTGTAACTGTGGGTAATTGAGCCGCGTCTCCCCTGCTTATCGGTAAAGCTCCGGCACGTCACGGACCTAACGAGCTGTGGCGCGCCGATTAGTCTGAGGGGAAAGTCGAACGTGAAACACCAGAGCCTCTGTCTTTCTTTTCCTTTTCTTTTTTTCCTTTTTCCATGTCTGCAATGGATATTATGAGCATCCCTGGAGGGCAGAGGCACAGCCTTATTAGTTCAATTCATGAGGGGGAAGAGAATTGATATGGATGAATGGCATGTTAAAGTATCCCTTTGTTACAATAACCATCAAGGCTGATGGTTTGGGCTGATGATGCAGCCCAAGGCAGCAGGACGACAAGCTGGGGCCTTGACCTGGATGGCAGAGAATACACACACACACACACACACACACACACACACACACACACACACACACACACACACACCTTGGGCAGGGGGGCTGATTACACACTGCTTTAAACAAATGGATTTGCCCCCTTAACATTTAGATATGGGCTCTCTCTGCGTGTTTGTGTGTGCGTGAGTGTGTGTGTGTGTGTGTGTGTGTGTGTGCATGCATTAGGTGTTGTTTTTTCCATGAGGAAGGATAACCATTTGTCTGTATTTCTATCAACGTTGGTGTGTGTGTGATGCCTTGAGTGTATAAGATAATCACACAGTGAAGAACTAATTGTGAATGTGTGTTATCAGCCTTTGTGTGCATATTGGGTTTTTATTTTTCCATTCATGCACGGTTATTTAGGGTTGTGCATGTCTGTGAATTCTAAAACTTCTTCCTGTGCATGCGCATGCATGTGCGCCCGTGTGTGTGTGTGTGCAGTGTCAGGTGCCTCCACAGGGCATTAACCAGCTTGAGCTGGTGCCACTCTGAGAATAATCCAGTAAAAAAGGCTGAGATGAGAATCTCACAACATGCCAGTTTGATTTGTACCCCTCGCTATCAAAGAATGCTAATTAAAACCATATTTTGCATATGTCTTGTCTTTCATGCGCATATGCAAATGGCCCCTGTTGCCTTTCAGCACTCTGTAATTAGGTTTATGAAGGACAGCTGTAATACATAATTAACAGAAATGTTTGCAAGCTCCTTTTTCTTCACGTCTAAACACGACGACTTAAACAAGCATCCATGAAGTGTTTCAAGGCCGTGCTTTTCTCTCAAATGCATCGACTAATCTTCAATGCACCCCTTCCTCGTTTGCAGCCTCTTAGAAACATCTTAATTATGCTGTTTGTTAACTTATACATGATTGCATCAGTCAAAGGCACTTTAAAGAGGCCAAAGGAGCTCCACATTTTGATCTGAGTTGTCTCCCTGACTGGAATGAACCAGATCCAATCGCACGCTTGCTTCCAGTTTAACTCTAAGGCAACATTCCGGATGGGTGGATGGATTGAGTTAGAGAGGATTGAGAAAGTCTGGAGTGACGATAATGAGGGAAAACAGTGGAACATGTTTGAATATGTATACGGTGGTGGTAGTTGGAGTCGGCCTCGGGGGCCTCCATGACGGACGCAACTCTGGGGCTATGATGGGATGGAGGATGCTGATGCTTGTGTGTGTGTGTGTGTGTGTGTGTGTGTGTGTGTGTGTGTGTCTCCAGTTGTCAGAAGGGGTGTTGGCATAAAGGGAGGAAACATAAATGGTGCAATAATTATCCTTTTGCTTCACAAAACCCTGACCACTGAGTGAAAATGAAAACTTCAAAAACACTCATACGAGTTCGCCAAAGAGAAAATAGAACAATGTTGACTGGGAAATGTGTGTCCGTGTGTGTGTGTGTGTGTGTGTGTGTGTGTGTGTGTGTGTGTGTGTGTGTGTGTGTGTGTGTGTGTGTGTGCGTGTGCATGTGTGTGTGCGTGTGTGTGTGTGTGTGGCGGGGGCATCCAGAGATGGAGGAAAGGGAGGAGCAGCACAAGGGAGGAGACGAGCCTGTGCAGTGGCGGTGCCAACCGCACGACTGCTGGTTCAAATCCCTCGGTCGCTTTCATGTTGCTCCATCCTTGGCTTTCAGATGTGGTCATTGTCTCTCGGTTGCACAATAATGGGAAGTGATGTGCGCTAAATGAAAAGGCCAGGGGATGAAAACACTGGTTGGATGTCAGAGTAGTTAGTCCTGTCATCCATTCATTATGTTTTCATAAGCTGTTCTGGAGACGCGGGAAACTCAGAGCCCTCTACAGAGTCGGGGCGTTGTGGCCGCTGTCATGCAAGGGTGCCCTGGTGCTTTTGAGTGTGTGCGTGCTATGGCGTGCACCGCTGATGCATGTGTGTTTAAATCTTTGCACGTGGACATGCTGGCGTTGCATAGCATGTGGTATGGGTTTCCTGATGTTTAACTAAAGAGGTGTCAGTTAAGTAAACACACTCATCGCTGGAAGGCCTCGTTTTATCGCCCTCAGCTGATTTTTTCGCCCGTGTGGTTCGGTGTGGTCAGAAGCAAAACCTCTTATTTTCAGGCTCTATTTATGAGCAACTGATTAACTTTTTCAAGTCAACCCTTTTCAAGACTGTAACTGCAGGTAGCCAACCTTATCAAACAGGCTGTGACTGTCGCTTTCATGTGAGAGTAGCAGAGAATCAAAACACTGTTTTGAAAAGCCAACAGATTGCTCAGCATCTTGCAGAAGTGTGAGCGATTGTGTTGTATGTGCCTTCAAGATTTCACTGAAACGGCAAAATTCCATCTTGTATAATCACAAGATGGGGTGATATTTCAAGGGATACCAGCTGTTTTAATGTTCAAATGTTAGCCAGAACGGGGCACACCTGCGTATCAGTGAGAAAGGTATTAAAGCTGTTCTTTGCAACTTTTTCATATTTTCTTCTTTCTTTTTGTTCTCTCTTGAACCAGAATGTGCTAAGATGACACTTTACAGAGTTAACGCAATGTCACTCAGACGCCTTTTGCCCTCTGTGGTCAGAATACCGCATTTGCAACTTCAGACTGGCGGAATGCCACCTATTGGATTCAGAAAAAATGGAGCTGACATACCTGGCGCAGCAGTCTGCTTCCAGCACGTTTAGATCATGAGCAGCTGATATGTTTCATTTAGCGATGAACCGCTCCTGTAACTAAGGAAGGTTGGGAGACATTTCAGCTGTTAAATCAAGGTGTTAAAAAGTTTAATTTTTGGTTCTACTAGGGACACTAAAAGTGTCCACTAGGGGGTGGTAAAAGTGACCTTTACCCAGCTCGTTACATAGGTTTTACAGTTAATCTTCTATCATAGAAGCTCGTGCTCCACCCCGTCTGCCTTGCAATAAGGAAACTAAATCTCTTTCTAACAGTTCCTGATTGACCTGGGTGCTGAGTGATCTTGTTTCATCTTTCACACCTGTGTCTGTCTTTGATCAGCCTAGTTTGATAACATCTTGCTGGTAACTCTGTTTGTTTTGCAGATGGGCCTTTGTGATGAAGAAGCACCTGAATACCCACCTGCTGGGAAAACATGGAGTCGGGCAGAGGAAGGAAAGGTAAATCAAACGCATGCATTCCTTATAAACCCTAATCTGCATTCTGAACCACTGTTCACTTTTCTGAAGATTTAATGAGTATTTATAGGGGGCGTAAACAAGTTTGGTTTGGTTTAGTCGGCTTTTCTAACAATAAAGAGTATTTTCCAATCATTTCTTACTGATTGGAGGAAACTCTGCAAGCTTTCAAGAAAAATAATCCCTAGCTTTTAAATTTCAAGCTAGATATGAGCTGAGATGGTCTCTCTTTCCCTAATGAGTTAAATGGCTGTCTGCTGTCTGTCTCCCTCTCTTGCTTACATCACTTTTTCTCTGTCAAACTTTATCTCGCACTCTCCCTCATCTTACTTTCTGCTCTGCCTCTTGAATTAGGGATGAATGATGTTTCTAGTAGTGTTTATGTATGCGTATGCAAGTGTGTGTTTCTGTGTGTGTGTGTTGCATCTCTCATTTGGTCCTGTCTTTCAGAACTAGAGCCCTGCTGTCAGTGTGTGTGTGTGTGTGTGTGTGTGTGTGTGTGTGTGTGTGTGTGTGTGTGTGTGTGTGTGTGTGTGTGTGTGTGATGAAGTTGGGAAGTGCCCCCACCCTCTCCTCAACACTGACAAGCCAAAATGAGACGTTAAGCACCTCTCAATCTGTCAAGCGAGCTGCTGAAATAGAAACAGACCTGCTTTTTCGTTACTCCACAACCAAATTGATACTTTTGACAAGTGGCCTCAGAGATGGAAGTAAGCACGCCAGCCAGACGAGACATTATCAACTAAATTCCTGCTGTCATGTGCTCATCTGGGTTAAATGGAAACAAACCCCTGATATCCTCCACCACTACAAGTCTGTTTCATCCTCGTTTTTGTTACCTTGACCTTTATTGACCCATTGAATGTTGAGTTCCGTATTCTGGTTTATTATAATAATCATTGCCCCCTTTCAGATTATGCCTTCAATCCCTGATCTACGTGTGCTTTGCTTTGCACACCTCTGTGATCACCTGTAACAGCGACAGGAAGGTCAGTCTGAGTTAAGCCACCATTGTTTTGTCTCTGATCCACTTCTAGAGTTCATGATGGAGCAGAGATGATCAGAATAATAAAGTTTAAACCAGCATTGTTTGATAGGTGATGTGCAGCGGTGGAATAAAATCTGTGCAAACCGCTGGCTGTGAGATCTTTAAGAACAAATGAGTCTACACTGAAGATTAAAATGGTGTAATAGTATGAGATTGCAACATTGAGCTAATCTAACATGTTTTTTTAAGCATGAAATTAGAAATTACCTGACGAGTGTTTAGCCTTCACGGGCTGCATGTTTTTAACCCTTTGATGCATAATGGTCACTACAGTGGACAGGTACTCAAAATTGTTATTTATTTATTTTTGCTATTAAGCACAGCTGTTGAAGACTTTATTGCATGTGAGCCCCTCAATTTGGACTTCAGTAAGTCAAGCCAACATATTTCATGTTCAGATTGCACGCTGTCCACTGAGGTGGACATGTAATAAATTATGTGTAAATTATAAAATTTCACAAAAAATATTTGTTGAAATTTGTTTCATTCACACCTAAAGATGAATGAAAAAAAATTGTTAAAAAAATCATGGTTGAAGATTTCATAATTCATGCATCAAAGGGTTAAAACTCATGTAAATCTTGGGATCTCACAAGACAATGGTGAGATGGAAATGACAAACTGAGACATAAATAGTGTGTTGTGCTGTTTTTCTGTATATGTATCAACTTTGATCATGAAATACAAAAACAGACCCAACTTAGTTTTCTGTTACTTGTATCCTATAAGCATTTATCTTTGTCCAACAACAGGTAAATTACTTGTTGAGTCAACCCAGTTCAGGACTGCCACCACAGTTTGACAGCTGACATTAGCAGATGCATAAATGACTGTAACTCGCTCAATTTCAGATACTTAGATGCAATGGGTGTATCAATCCTTCCCATTGTCATGATCAGGGGGTGGTTGGACCCAAGTGCAGGAAGCCAGAAGACACAGGGAGATGGTGTAATGAAAAAAACAAAGTCTTTATTTCTGAGCAGTCAGGTAGTCCATGGCTCAGGGGGAAAAGATGCAGAGGTAAAACAAAACTCGAAAAACTCTCAGGAGGGACACTCAAAACTAGAAACTCAGGAGGCAACAGACACGCAACAGTTGTGACACTCACGCAGACACACGCAACAAATACTGAGAGACAAGACAGGGTTTTAACACAGGTAGCAGTGATCAAGAGATCACAAGCAGGTGCGTGGGAAGTGAGAGCTGATGGAAGACAGGTGAGACTAATTAACTAAATCGGGAGGCAAAACAAAGTAGAGGAGGAAACTAAGCCCTAGTCCACACGTAGCCGGGTTTTTTAAAAACGAATATCCGCCCCTCCAAAAACTTGCATCCACACCACCTCGTTTAAAAACAAACTCTGTCCACACGTACCCGGATAAATACGTTGTTAAGGACATGCCAGACCTGTAGGCGGCAGTACTTCCCCTGTTCTTAACCTCGTCCTTCGTCTGTGGCCTTCCGCAAGGAGCAGTAATTCTGCTTGCAAAAACAAACAAACAAAAAGCGCTTGGACAATTGATAAAGGGAGCGCAGCTCTGAGGGCATCCATGCTGTCGGCTAGTGTAAACACAGGTCGCACACGTGATGTCAGCATTTTTTTGTTGTGGAAAGTGACGTTGCGGACCTTAAAACTCCGGTTTTGTCTGTCCACACGCAGACACCCAAAACGGAGAAAACGCAGATCTTCACTTTGGCCGGAGTTTTTAAAAAGATCCGTTTTCGTGTGAAAAAACTCTGTTTTTGTGTGGATGACAGGCCAAAACGTAGAAAAATATCTACGTTTTGGCAGATCCCCGGCTACGTGTGGACAGGGCCTTCATCATAAAACCTCTAAGACAAAAAACTACTGCACAAAAAACGAACCTAAACCTGTAGGACTAAAGACACTGAAGAACTAAAGTAAATAACCAATGACCTGAAGAGTTACAGAACTAAATCTAAGACATAGAAAACTAAATATGAAACTGGGAGTCTGGGTGAAGGAAGTTATCGGGAGTTAAAGAGACTGGAACCAAGGGCAGGGAGAATTCTAAAAAGACAAGGAGTGAGACAGGAAGGGGAATACAGGAACACAATGTGATGCCCAGCACATATTCTTTTCATTTAAAGGGAAATATTTTGCAAAATTCTCATTTTACATCCTTTTTTGCTGCCTGGTGGGCCATCACTACCTCTATAAACACTCCAAACATGAATAAAAATCATCCATTCGATTTGTCAGTGTTTGTCAGGAATTATGTGTCTAAATCAAACTGTTTAAAAAGTCCCTGTTTGTGATGCCACAATAAGGAAAATTAGCATAATGCCCCCTTTCACCTGTTTACGCCGGAGGAGCAGTATCTCTACTCTGAGTCGCTCCTGGATATCTGAGCTCCTCACCTCATGGTAGCCAATCAAGGGGTGGGTGGGCGTGCCCAGCAGTAGCTTATTAGCCCGGAAATGGCTCATTCTGGAAGGTACTAAAAATGTCAAGCATAGAATTGGTGAGATTGCTTTATGTGAGAGGGATTCTGTAGGAAAACCTTCCAGAACATGTTTTGTATAACTTGCATGACTATTTCATCTCTTTTTTGAAAATGTATATGTAATGTCTCCTTTACGTTTAGGAATCTGCTCCATTCAAGATGGCACCACAGCTCAACAAACACACAAAAAAGGGCTTTAAATAAGATAGTTTTACAGATATTGGCTCACAACACAAACTCTTAACTGCTGACATATTCTATAAGATTTTGATATTGAGCAAAGAAGATGTTGAGACTAAAGCAGACACATTGATTCTTATACTGCAGCTACTGGGACATCGCTGGTTAATCCACTCTTTAATACTGAACTTTCTCTTAGTAAACAACTTGTGTCCAGACAGTGTTCATGTTTTAAGTCTCTGACTAATGTCAAAATGATGTCTTAAGGTTCTACTGGATCAGTCTGCAGAGGACTCTTTAGCTTTTGCATCTTGTTGAAGTAGAAGATCCCAGCCTGTTCAGATGGGGTTCAGATCCACAGGCCTGGCAAAAACTCCACACATTGTTCTGTAGAAACTAAAATTCAACCTTTGAGATGGCCTTTTATTGGCTATAATGACTATTGCACATTCCTGGGAGTGGACGGTTTTATTTTTTCTTTTACAATAAATAAAAAAGTGTAAGAGTGTCAAAACTAGTCTAATGAACACATCAAAAATACTGCAAAACAACTTTTTGTGAAAGTTAAGATACCTGGGTGAACAAAATCTTTGCACGCCTGATTCAGTGAGATTTTGGCAGATGGGCTGATGTCGTTTCACCCAGAGATCTCCCAGAGAGCAGTTCCTCTGCTGTGAAATCTGCAGTTAAACTTATTTATTCTGGCAGCATGGTCTGACCAGTGAGGCCAATGGATAACATAAAAACTGTTGATCCCTTCGCTCAGCGCGCTGGGCAACCTCCGATTATCCATCTATTATTTATTCAGCTTACACTAAATTCTATATTTCATGTTTATGAATTTAACATCATAAGAAATGAAGTAAGTCCTGTAAGCTCACTGCAGCAGCCAATGCCCACCACGACTAATTCAATTATCTTCAATTTCTTCATTACTAAATTGCACTGATGCTGAACTCTACAGCTATCTTAATAAATCGGCCTGTGTATTCATGTCTATGCCGGCTTTATTTTGGATTGTTGCTTATTTGGTCTGGCGTGTTTTAAGGGTTGGTGGGCTTGATTGCACCAAGAGGAATGCTAGTAAACTGCCTTTAGTTCTCACTGTGTCATGCTTTTGATCTGTGAGATTTTACTTCTATGCATCTTCTTTTGCAAAGAAATCAAAACAAAAACAAAAGTCACAGAGCACACATTCATGATTCTTACAAAAAATACTTGGAGATAAAGAAGCTGTGAGGTGTGTGTGTGTGTGTGTGTGTGTGTGTGTTACCTAAAAGTGTTTA